ATGAGTCCCTTTCTCAATTTCAACAAGTCTTTGTCGAAATCAACAAATTTCCTGCTGCATCTCTTCCATGGTAAATTCTTGATCGGCTTCTGACATTTGTCTCCTGGATAAAATGATTAAGGTTTAGATTTGGGAGCTGAAAGAGAGTGTATGGGGCGGATTTAGGATGCAGAAAAATAATTAGGGTTGTTGATTTTAAAAATCATCAAGAATGAAGAGTTTTGGTAGAGTTTGAATAAGGTATTGGTGGATTTTGGTAATCTTAGGATGGTAGGGTTATGCTAGCTTTGATATCTAGTGATACCGAATTTTAAAATAACCAAAGAAAAAAAAATATTATTATTAAATTAAAAAACTGAAATTACTAAATACTAGGGAAATCTGAAATTGCAACAAAACAATAACACAGCTCTGGAATTAGGGGTGGATCTAGGGTGTAGGTGGTGTCGATTAGGGTTTGGACCTCCGAAGTAATGGCAAGGAGCTGGATAGCAAGCTGGAAACAACAGGAAAGCAGATTTCAAGAGCCAGCCCGAACAAAAAACAAGCAGCTAGAACAACTGCAGGAGAGCTATTCTGGGTGGCAGCAACAAGGAGGAAGGGAAGGGCACGTGGGAGCGATGTGGGAATGGATAAGGGAAAGTTATAGGAAGAATAAACGCCAACATGAGACAAAAATACGATTAAAGCACTACTTGGAACTCTAGGATACAGCATGTAGAAGGAAAAGGAGATGCAGACGGTTGTCCCAAAGCAAATCACAGAAAAAATTGAAAATCCAACACCCAATACAATAATATATGAAAGAATCCTACGATTAAATACCTAATTAAAAACTAAAGAAATGGAAAATATGGGGAAAATAAAATCCAACAACCCAATACACGATCGAGGGGGTTCCACATATCGCGGAATCGTGCATACTGTACCTGGGACATCTGACACCCGCGCCAATCATTTTATTAGTTGAAAAATCATTACATTCAACAACTCATCCTATTGTCTCGAGCTAATCGATAAATTTATTTGGATCCATTCGACCGTCAAAATCTAGCAAGCCAATATTCAGTCCAAAATCCCAGTTTCTCCTCCGATATGTTATGCTAAATACTCGAGGTAATAATTTTTCCACATTGGAAACCACCAGTTGAAAGGGATTCACTTCTCAATCTGGCGAGTCACCGTTGGGGTTATGGGTGATCTCACTAAATTGTCTTTTCTCAAAGACGGCAAGCCTCTATTACAGTTTGAGGATTTCCCGTTGCATGTCGTTCATAGCGAGCTTCTGAATACCTTGTTACAGGTGTCTCCTTAGAGGCATGACATCTTGTTCTTCTAATGAAAGTTTTGACGAAAAAGAAAGATATGATTTAGGATTAAGATTAGGTTAAGACTAGAGCTAGGTGGATAATGAGGGAAAAAAAATTTGGTAAGGGTGTTAGGTTAGGTTATATGCATTCTTCTTGGTTTAGGTGTAGGAAAGAAAAATCCATAAAATTTTAGGGTGTGTTCGGCTCTAATACGAGATGATGCCGTTGTAGGGCTCCTACAAGAAGTTTGGAAAGCAGGTTTTGTGGGGAGGTAGTTGTAGAATAGGAAGAGAATGAAAAAATGTGAGTTTCATGGCATTTGAAATTTGGACGGGCATGAGCCTTTTTTGGCAGCAGTCCTGGCTGAAAATAGTAGGTCGGGCCGTGAAACGACAAGATATGGCGGCGACGAGGTTCATCATCTGTTCCTGAGTAAAATACAGACACACAACTTGCGAAAGAAAGAGAATCTAATACTCCTAAAGCAAGAAATCAAAGATAACAATCTCCACAATACTCAAAATAAAGCAAAACTCTATAAAATCAGAATATAACAACACATAAATAGTCTCTCAAATAAAAAAACTCTAATTTCAATTCAGCAATTTAAGAAATTTAGGCCCCAAAAGGGCTGGTAGCAACAATAAGCAAGAAATCTTCTTTTCGGTGCAGAACAAAATAGAATCTCGCTCGGTTCCTGCTTACGTGAAAAACTATCACGGATCACGCATCACTCAATCATGCACTCGCGATACTCATAATCATTGAATCGCAGTGATCCCATAACAATGGAATCTGCGGCCTAGGAGTTATTGTCTAGCAACACGTCCTGCATCAATCCTCCAACTAAATGCAAGTCAAGCATAAATACATATAGTATTAAGACTGTGGGTCTATTTGGGGCAGTTGCAGCTGTTTAAAGAAGCTGCTAAAAAAGCTATTGTTCAAAAAGCTGTGATGTCTATTACAAAAAAAAAATTAAAAGACAGACTACAGCTTTCTAGCAGCCGCCGCAGTTAACCAGATTTAATGGAAAGACAAATTTTTAAGCTGCAGTTTTTTGAAAATACGGGCTTTTGTCAAATAGGAAAAACTACGGTGTTGCGCCTCACCGCCACCACACTGCCACCCCAAATGCACCCTAAAACATTTTATCAAGAATTCACCCACAATATAGAAAGAGAATAAAGTACCTAGCTAATAAATCTCAAATTTCATAAAAAAAGACCTAATTTATCTTGAAGTGAGGATTATATTTGTTGAGAATATCTGATATTTGATCAAAAAAAATAATGGAAATTGGATTAAAAAAGCCCACTTGGATATATACCCATCAACCCCCCAAATAATTTCAAAGAAGGACAGGAAGTGTAGACACTAGAAAACAACCACAGGTGCTCGTGCAGCACAAGGAGGAAGCTCTGAGGAAACGGTAGGAACCAAAATCGATGGTAGAGAAGAAATGGCCCTACAAGGGAAACAAATAGAGTAGAAAATGACAAAGAAAACAGCAAAAATAGTGAAAAATGATCTTGAGCAAGGGGGAAGCGAGTAAGTACAAAGATGACTGCATATTGTTGAACAAAAACTAAAAAGCTATGAAGAAACACCACCATGTGGTGCATCAAGGCCGGAGATAGAATGGGCAAAAGCACATCAGCAAAGCGTGCTTGTGCAAAAGAGGCGTTGAGGTGCAAGTGCAATAGCAACAAGTAAGATAGCCACACAATCAACACAGAAGGAGAACAGAAGAAGTAGAGGGGCACACAAACACAAAGGATATTATGAGCATAACCAATCATCGAAAAGCAAGCAAAGCTGATTCATCACCAGGAACGCCAACAACAACACAACACCATTAGGGTAGTGCAAGGCAAACAATATTGTCTACCATACAATCATAAAGCAATAGAACGCCACGTTAACAGGTCTATCTCATCATCTAAGTGTGATCAAATTCCCCAATTGTCATAATTCAATAAGCTAAGCTTGCAAGCAAAAATAACTCATTGAATGTAGGCACTAAATAGAACAATAGCATTATTTTTTTTACAATTTTTTATTCAAGAATATACAGCTTGGTACACTTAGCATGCAATCATCATATCAAAGAAAATATCATAGTCGAGAAAAAGATTAGAATGACTGCTCAAAAACAAAAAATCGAGATAGAGGCTCAAGACAACTGTGTTTATCTCAACGAGGCTATGTTAAGAAAGTGTTGGACATGTTTGAGATAAGCAAAGCAAAGTAACGCCTGTGAGCACTTCATCGGCAAATTATTTTAAGTTTTCTTCAGAACAGTGTCCGAACACAGATAGAGAAATCGAAGACATGGCAAAGATCTCATATGTCAGTGCAGTTAACAGCTTGATGTATGCAATGGTATGAACTCGCCCTGATTTGGCTCATGCTGTTAGTCAAGTCTGCAAATACATGTATAAACCTGAAATGCGATATTAGGAAGCAGTCAAGTGGATTTTCAGGTATCTGAAAGGTACTGTAGGACATAGAATTATTTTTGACATTCAGTAGGATAATCCTCCAGTTGTGGGGTATGTGGATTCAAAATATGCAGGTGATTTAGATGACAGAAGTTCTAACTCTTGGTGAAGGACATATATGTTGGAAATCAACAGTTCAGTCTATTGTGGCATTATCTATAAATGAACATGAGTACAAGGCAGTAATTGAAGCTGCTAAAGAAGGTTTATAGCTTACTGGAATAGTAAAAGAATTGGGTGTTGAGCAAGGTGGAGTTCAGTTGTATTGTGATAGTCAAAGTGTTATTTATCTAGTTAAGAACCAGGTGTACCATGTAAGAGCCAAGCATATTGATGTCAGGTATCACAAGATCAGAGAATTGATTGCTTCTGGTGAGACACTGTTGCAGAAGGTTCATACTAATGAAAATGCAGCTGGTATGTTGACCAAGCCAGTTACTATCAACGAGTTCTTGCATTGCTTGAACTTGTTGAATATTTTTAGTTGCTAGAGAAGTATTGTGGGCAAACCCACATTGGTGCATGTGTAACTCCCATGAATCTTTTTCCCCTCAAGGGTTGGATATTCGCCAAAGTGGAGATTTGTTAGGTATGGCTCATATACCAGATAAGGGATAGATATTTGGAGTGGAACGGAGCTCGCGAGTGGAGTGAAGTGAAAGTATCCGTCTAATCGAGGGAGTTACGTTTTGTGAGTTGGGTACAGGGGTAATTTTGTAATTACATATTGTACTCCAGGGCTATATATATATGCGTATTGTAACCCTAAGGGGTATCCTATACTCTTTTTCTGAATTGAAAGAAAGTCGAAGTTCTACTCCCGAAAATGTAGGCATCTTTGTCAAAACCTCGTTAAATCTCTATGTTTTCTTCTGGATTTGTGTCGATTCTCGTTTCTTTGCCCTAGAAATTTCTCAAAAAAATGAAAAAAAAAATCTAAACTTGATCTTTTGTAGCATATAGCTCAAGGAGAAAGAGTATTCAAACAATGTATAAATAATAATGACAACCGTAAAAGAATGTATGGAAGCAGCACCTCAAACATGAGACACTTCAACCAACTAAAAGTCTATCTACATGCATTAAGGTGCAAAACTATAGCATCCTAGAAATTGGAAAGCTTTGTGGATCTGCTAACATGTCAATTAAGAAAAATATAACAAGGATGCATTGAAAAATGGCTCACAATATTTGAGTTAATTGAAGCTAGTGTATCTGCCAGCGCAAGTTCTTCATCAGAACGCTTTAGGGAGGAAGAAGATTGTAATATAGCCTACAGAAAAGAGAAACAACTATGATCCATGAATAGAGCGTTAAAATAGGAAGAATGGCACTCAGGAAATCAACAAATATAAGAATATGAATACAGAATAACAACTTTCAAATTAGAATATGGTCATAAGTATATTAAGCAATTCTAAATGGCAAAGATCTTTTGGTAAGTACCATTATTTATGTATCGTTTGTTTATTTTAATCGACCGTGATACATGTCAAAACAGAATTCAACAGAAACCGATCATCACTCCTCTCTTGTTAAACCCTTGTTTTTTATTTGAAACATGTGGCATTTAAAAATGTTGGCTTAAGATGCAAAGTAAACTCATGAAAACTAGCACTTGAAGGCTCCTAACAAAAAATGTTGGTGTCGTGCACTAGGAATTCAAACATTACAGGTTGGCATCCTTTAACACAAATGAGGGGAGCGGGGCGGAAGAAATTATGATGACCAAGAACTTGTGAACTGATCACTAGTTATTAAACCACTAAATACAAGGGACATTTATATACATAGCATACAATTCTTCAGGATTTGTATATCTCACACCTAGACTTCCATATTCACACACTTTGCCCTCAATTTTTTAATACAGCATAAAAAATAGCACTATTATCACTTTTCAAAAGTTAACATGTTTAAAGCACCAAAGTGCTATGTGTACATATGAAAATTTAGGTGTGGGATATGTAAATACATAAGAATTGTTTGCAACATATGTAAATTTCCCTAATAAATATTCAATTGGACAATCTACCTCCTCGATATTATGCAAAAAGTGATTCCTTCCAACAGAATGTACAACGGCTCTGCATTGAGGACAAACAACACTCTGATGTCTACCACCAGGCTTAGTTGACGATTTTCTCAGCCACTCTGAAAAGCAGCCATTGCTGCACAAAAATTATTTGGCAAACAATTTTAGGGAGAGAAAAATAAGCATATTAAAAATGCATAACCAGGCAAGTACCAGAAATTGTGAAGACAGGGAGAAACGGTAACAACATCATGCCATATGTTCAGGCATATGCTGCAATTTGCATGCTCGGCGTCTAATGAGATCTATCAAAGTCAATCAACTGAATGAGATCGGCAAGAACACCCAGAAGTAGTATATAAGTCACAGACCATGGCAATGTTCATAGAAATAACCTTTAAACCTTTTCCGTCTTGACTATGAGCGTATGTTTCTTGAAAGACATAACTCATGTAGCCTGGAAGATACAAGAAAATTACGTTAATCTTCCAGATAAAATTACATATTATAACAAACAACATTACTCCTATAATATCTAAAAATGACAAAAAAATACTAATTTATAATCTATCTTTGCAGATCCCAAAAATCTTTATAACTATTTTAATAAAATTCTTCATTTTTCTTCTGGCATTATTATACATAGGTTTACATGTAAATAATGTAATTATAATAGTTATTTAATTTATTTACTAATTAAATCATTTTTTCTTAAATTTTAATTGATTTTACTTTAATGCTAGTCTAGCAATATTACTATATCACCAGAGATGGAAATCCACTTTCCATGATATACAGCGGCTTGATTTAATTCAAGGGTTGGATTAGTTTAATTAAATTATATTATTAATATAAATATGATTTTATATATAATAAAGTATATATAGGTTATACAATTTAATTCCCCTCATCCTGTTATCATTCTTGGATGGGAAAAACAGAGAGGGTAGTTCTCGAGTAGAGCAACCCAGCTTTGGATTGAAGGTATTGAAGGACAAAAGGTATGATAAGGAAGAGAGGAAAAAGAAAAAAAAAATGAAGAAGAAAGGAATGGGAAGGAAGACAGAAAAGCTAGGATTCAAGGTAATTATCCAAGTTCTCATTTTATTTCCAACCAACTGATTTGGTTGGAAAATAGTAAAGCGTGAAAGATTTTATGTGAAAGATTTTATAAAAAGTAATTTGAAGTAAAAAAATTATTATGTGAATTTTAATACAAAAGAATAAATAAATAGGAGTTTAATATAAATTAATGAATCTATTGATTTCATCAGATTTTGTAGGGCAGATCAAAGCTTAGAGGTGGAGAGAATCAAGAAATCCATAATACCGGAGTTAACCCAAAACAGAAGGTAAATATTACTACTGAAACATCAAAGAGATTACAACAAGTGTTCTCAAAGCAGGAATAAAGAACATAAAACACGATGGAGCCCAAGCACGAAGTTAGAGAAGGTGAGCCCTATTGGCTGGCTGTGAAAAGGTGGGTCGGTAGTCTGCGGCAAGAGGTAGAGTGATTGAGATGGGAAAGACAGCAGGTTCTAGGAATAGGGAGGTTGTGATAGTAGGGACAAAGATCTGGATGTAGGAAGGGTGGATGAAGCAGGTGTCAACAAGGGAGGTGTCGACGGGATCTTTAGCCTGGCCTAGAAGGTGTGGGGAAGAGGTTGCAGTAGTCTAGAAAAGAAAAAGGCAAGGGTGGCATATATGGACGGTCTGGAGGAGATGGGTGGTAGTTCCGTGTAGATGAAGGAGGTAGGCGAGGAGAAGGCTGCGAGTAGAGAAATATCTAGGGACTTGGAGCAACAATTCTATATGATTGAAGGATATAGGCGAGGAGAAGACTACGAGCAAGACTATATCTAGGAACCTAGAGCGGCAGTTATGTGCGACTGAAGGAGATAGACAGGGAGAAGGCTACGAGGACACGATGTCTGTGGACCTGGAGTTGCAGCAGGGTGGGGGGAACAGCAGGGATAATCACCATCTCGAGCTACATTGAACGCAGCTGCCACATTGTAGTCTCCTGAAAGGTCGATCTTGTAAGCGTTATCATTCATATTTCGAAGTATTCTGAAAGGTCTGTCTGCTCTCTCATTTTTCAGCTAAATCAATACGAGATCTCCTCAAAAAGTCTACTTCTTCCTAAACTTATTCGTTTGTGTCTAATATTGTGGTTCTGCTTAGTAATCTCCTTTCTAACCTCCGCATGGAGTTTCTGAATCTCGTGAACCCATTCTTCAGCAACCTTACTGATCTCGGATGTTGGCAAGAGTAGTACCAACTCAAGTGACATGAGCGAGTTGCACTCGTACACAAGCTCGAATGGAGTGTGTCTTGTAGTTTGGCTCACGGATCAGTTCTATGCAAACTCAGCTTGAGCAAAATTAGATCTCATGCTTAATGCTCTTTCTCACGAAGCATCTCAAAAGGTTTCTTAGGCTCTACCTCCATCTGACCGTTCGACTGTGGATGAGTTGTAGAACTAAATTAAAGTTTGGTGTCTAACTTCCCCCGCAAGGTCCTCCAGAAGTGGCTCAGAAATTTGACTATTCTGTCAGAGGTGATGATCCTGGGAATCCTATGCAACCTCATGATCTCTTTAAAATACAAATCGGAGACATGCGACACATCCAGTATCCTATGACAGTGTACGAAATGTGTCAACTTTGAAAATTGGTCCACCACCACCATCACAGAGTCCTTGTTCCTCTACGTCCTTGGGAGACCCACCACGAAGTCCATGTTGACGTTTATCTACGGTGCCTGGTACTGGTAAGAGAGTGTATAACCCTGCATTCTATCCTTCGGTCTTTGCTATATGAAAAAACTTGCACTGTCTAACATGTTGTTCCACATCTATCGTCAGTCGAGGCCAAAATAAGTGCATTCTCATAAGTGCAAGTGTCTTGTCCCTACCAACATGTCCTGTCAGACCTCCATTATGGCTCTCATAAACAATAGCTTCTCTCAGCAAGCAACTGGAAATGCACAACTTACCCTGGTAGAACAAATATCCATCTGCTCTGTAGTATTGCTCAGTTTGCTTCTCCTGACATCGTTCTCAAATAGTCTTCGTTTGCCTCATACAAGTCCTTTACCACCTCAAACCCCACAATGCGAGTCTGCATTGATGTGATCAACATGTGACGACAACTCAATACATTTTTTATGCGGTTATGGCTCTCTGCCTTATGCTTAAGCACGAACCGGAATGATATCAAAACTTCACTCGAGTGGTGTGTCGGCTCTTCAGTTTGCTCTGGTTGTTTAGGAATTTCAAGGCTTAGTGATCCGTGAACAGAGTGAACTCGCTCGTCAGCAGGTAATGGCTCCAGTGCTCAAGAGCTCTTACAATAGCATAAAACTCCTTGTCATATGTTGAATAATTCCTTCTAGAATCATTCTTTTTTACTGAAACCGGTCTTCCATTCATCCCCTGGCCTCATCCGGATTTGGTGGTACCGATTGTGTAAGTCAACCTTGGACAAGACAATGGCTCCGTGCAACTTATTCAAGTGATCATCCAGACGAGGTATGAGAAATCGATAATTGATAGTACTCTTGCTGATGGCTCGACTGTCAATGCACATCCTCCATGGTCAATCTTTCTTGGGTACTATTAGGGTGGGGTCAGCAAACGAACTAGTTCTCTCTCTGACCATACTTCCCGTACCGAGAACTTGTACTCGTCGCTGCAACTTATCGTACTCTGTAATCCTCAATCTGTAGGCGGGTCGATTTAGCAATCTGATCCATGTATGAGATCTATGGCGTGTTGAATGTCCCTCGGTGAAGCCAATCCCTCTAAAAGACTATCGGTCATCATGTCCAAGAAGTCACACAACAGTAGTTGTATAGGTGTCGATATCTCAACCTCCCCCTCGGTTACCTCTAGTAGCACCAATTTCATTGCCACTGGGGCATCTCTAACCGACCGCATGAAGGTGGCTCTTGGAACCACCGCCTCCTATGTGTTGTCTACTCCTCCCACATCCTTGACTAGTAAAAGCATGATGCGGCTCCCATCCTTTTTAAAGGAAGAAGTATTATTGAAGCCGGCGTGTTGGGTCTTGCGGTTGAACTTTCATAGACTCCCCAACAAGATATGATAAGTGTCCATAAGAACCATGCACCACACTTGCTTTTATAATTGATCCCCAATCAAAAAATTCAACAAAGCACTGCTTATCTATGTGTATCTCGTTTCCCCTTTTCAACCAGGAAAGGGAGTAGGATTAATGGTGTTTCTATGTGACCAACCTCAGTTTTTTCACTATTAATGTGAATATCACATTCTCACAGTTCTCATTGTCGATAATTAAACTACAAACTTTTCACTTCACCTAAACTTGGTGCGAAAAATACTTTGCATCAGCAATGAATGATCCTTCTCCAACTCCGTCTGTAGGATTCTCCGTATGACAAGCATCTCTCCCCCATCTCCCTGAAGTAGAACTTCCTCCTCTGGATTCTCCGTTGCTTCCTCTTCCTTCACTTCCTCGACGACTCCCTACTCCGTGAATGAAACAACTCGACTCATGGGACAATTGGAGGTTGTGTCCATATTCGTGGCATCTGAAATATCTCCTGGGAGACACTGTACTGGGCGAGCTACCCTTTTCCAAATTTTTTTCACTCAGGTCTATCTATCACTTCCTTGTCCTGTCTTTCTAACTCCAGAGATACTCTTGTCGGTGATTGTAGCTGCAGTTGATTACCTGAATGAGGATCGCTGTTTGAATGAGTGTTGTTGTATGTTTTGTTGTGTTTTCTTTCCACCTTCAAAGCTAAGGTTGGGACATCTCCCAATGACCAATAAGGTCGCAGATGTATCATGTTGGGGATCCCAAATAATGGGATATGGAATGTTCATCAAGCTCGACCAACCCACACTTCATCCGTAACTTGTCAAACTTTGTCGTGAACTCATCCACTGATGAGTCTCTCTGTTGGAAGAGGTAGAGTCTCGGAAACATATCTTGGCGGTAATAAGCGGTAAGTATTTTCTCTGCATCTCCTTCCTCATCTTCTTCCACCTGGTAATCTTCTCACTATGCTCTCTCTATCTCTGTCTGTAAATCTTCCCACCACAAAGAGGTGCTCTCTTAAGTTTGATGGATGCAAGCTTGACCCTTTTATCCTCTGACATTTCCTTGTACTCTAAGATTCTCTTAACAGTCTGATATTATTCGATATAGTCGTTTGCATCCATACCTCCATCAAACTTGAGTAGATCCACTTTGATATCGAAATCTTTGTGTGCTCTATACGATGCCTCCTCTCTCGGACTCCTCTGATACTAAATTCTAAAGCGTTCGGGCCTGACTTCCTCATCACTGACGTCTTCCCTACAAACATTTCTCCTCTTCGAATTTCCATATCACGCTCAAAGGTAATTTCACTCTGGATTCCATCATCAATCTCAGCAAGCTTCTGCTGAAGCCGACGATCGCTCGATGTATCACTTTTGGGATATGTACGGGCCTGTGTCTCCTTGGTGTCATGATTGGGGTTTGGGGATTGGAATGGTTGGTTGAGAATAGAAAAGAAAAATTTTAGTGGGGGAGTGGTTGGGTGGATGCTAAGAAACCATAGCATATAACTAGGATTAAGCTAGCTCTGATACTAATTGATAACGGAGATAACCCAAATCTTAGCAAATTGAAAATACTATTGCAAAAATACAGGAAAAATGCAAAAAAAAGGTACTTAAAACAGAAATAAACAGCAACAAACATAAACAACACTCTAAGGTGAGTACGACGGTGTTGGATGGTCATTGGACAGCATGTAGAGTGGTTGTCTGGAGGTTGCGGGCACAGCAGGGGGCTAGGATGGCTTGGCGGCAGCAACTAGGTGGCAGGAATGAGGGCACGACAGTAGCAGGCAGGTAGGGAGAAGGTTACCGGTAAGTGTCTAAGAGGCTGGAGGGATGGCTGCAGCAAGCTAGGAGGGAGGTAAGGGATTACAACAGCAGGTGGGGTGCTGTAGGGTTGCGGCGGCAGCAGCTGGAAGGAGTATTAGGGCTGGTAGCAGGGGATACATGGGAAGGGAAGGTGTGCAGACGCAAGGGCAGCGAGCAAGGATGGAGTTAAGAGCAGGAATATGGGGAGAGAATCACCATCTTGGAGCAAAATACAGTCCGAGCACCACCTGTCCTCGGATACAGCCCTGGCAAGGAAGAAACGCCAACAACAAAAAATCTGAGAAAACTGAACCCTAACATAGAAAATACATATATGTAATAGATTATTATGAGAGAGAGGCCCCTCCCCTTGGGTGGCAAACCTAGCCCATCAACATGGACCAGCTGGCCCCAGCTCCCCTATTCTCTGAACTGATTCAGCTAATATGACTGGCTTAGGCCCCCTTAGGGAGCCTCGCATCACTTCCAAAAAAATTTTGTATATCCCTCAATAGAAGTTATCATTAAATTCATTAGAACATATTTTTAAAATTAGCCAATCATTTATCAAATCATCAAGCAAAGTCAAAACTTCAAGTACTATGCTATTGAAATAAGTTTTAAAAAATTATTAACTAAAGCGTCCACAGAATCACCAATCTCATCGACAAACCCATGTATCATCAAGATCATCTACTCCATTATCCTCTACAATTGAAGATATTCATCCCAAATACAAGTTCCTAAAAATTCAATCATTAGCATAATAATCAATTTCATGACACTTAAACTATCTCTTAGATGAAATCTTAGAGCAAGATGTAGATGCAATTTAGTTCTTCTTGGTGCCTAATTATATGTAATATTACTGCCCTTGGATGTAGAATTACAACAGATTGAACTTAATTACTTTGATAAGAAGATATAATCCATGAACATACAATAATCCTTTTAGAAAAAAAATTTAACATTTGCTCATAATATAAAGGAAGTTGAAAAGACATGCTTAAGTAATGAAACCACAACAGGTTCAAAATTTGACTCCCATGACATATCATTTTGTTATGTATGACACTTAATTATCATCTCCACGCTAGTGTAATGCTCTTATGTTCATATACCATTTGTAGTAGCTTAAACTCATCGAGATAATGTGCACTTTGACCTAATCGTTTCGAGATTTTGTCCTATTAACATAACTTCTCAGGACATCACACTAATACGCTTAATTTTAAAGTTTTTAATAAAATTACATCCGTTGCTTAAAAAGGTGCATCTATGTTCAAAAGTTCAACTTAATTCTACAGGGAGAGTTTCACAAGCAATTTGTGATTTTGCAGCATTTTTAAACATGGTATAATGGTTTTGGAAGCATGACAAGTGTCATGATTGAAAGCTGCCTGCGTTAAATTTGCCACAAATATTTGAATGCATCTATTATTATTATAGTTCCAAAAGATATTGTGATAGGTCAAAAGCAGGCATTCCACCAACCGGTGCGAGAGTATGAAATCAAAAGAAAAAGCTTTCCCAGTTAAAAAACCAAGGGGCATTTACATACCTACCACACAATATTTGAAAGAACCTATTACTATTATAGTTCCAAATGATGGTGTTATAAGTCAAACGTAGGAATTCCAGCAACTGGTGCTAGAATATGAAATCAAAGAAAAAGCATTTCCCAGTAAAAAAACAAGGGGCATTTACAAACATGCCCCACAATTCTTATGTATTTACATATCTAACAACGAAACTTACATAATATCACATCAAAAATATAACTAATACTGCTAACTTTTTATAAACGATGTACACATTTTCATGCATAGGTTCAAATTTTAGGTGTTAGATATGTAAATACAAAGGAATTGTAGGGTATGTAATTAAATTTCCCAAAAAAACAAAAAAATTGCATAAACAAACAGCTGACGGGGATCTCTATTATGAGACTAAAAAGCAATATAGTAGGGATCATTTGAATGAATACTAAATAAGTATTTGCCCAAAAACTGGTCCCAGAGTTCGGAAAAACTCCAGGTGCATGGGAGATGAGAACATCAATATATCAAACAACAATGTGACTTAACAGCAGAATTGTAAAATAGGCTGCTGACCTTCTCTACAAGGTCCCGGAATGATTTCAATTCCATGTTTCAAAGCCACCAACTCTTCTTGTACAAGATTTCCATCAACTAGGATTGCTGTTGAGCTTCATCAGGCACGGAGAAAAGATAAAGAGATAAGAGTTACTATCAATTAGCAGAAATAATTTATATTATAATCTGGCTATAACTTTAGGGAAATGCCAATGTATCACAGAACAAGTGATCCAAGGGGCATACTTAGTAACATGTGCGCGTGAGTACACATTCAAGCAGGAAAATGAGAATAACATACGCGGCTTGAAATATAGCAGTACAAATAAAACCGGCATCACAGTACATGCGCAAGGTGCTCCAATAAGAAAAATATGGAATTAATACACATCTGATATCGTGCAACAGATAAAAATTAGCTTTACATGCGGAAGAAACCTCCTCGAGAAGTGAGAACTACAAGAAGGTCTAACCTCAGGTTTTTAATTGCCACGCAATCATCTCCATCACGTATAATGGCACACCACGCAAGAGCATCTAGAGATGAGTCCGTGATTTGAGAGCATATAACCTCTTCAGCGGACCTGATTTCAATTTCTCGATATCTGACATCCCTTGGCACTGCATCATCAAAGTAAAAAAGCTACAAGAAAAGACTTCAAATAAAAAAAAAAATCGAGACAGAAAACTGCGTCCTTTCCGATTCCTGCGCCTCGCATGACAGCCAGCAGCATTCTGCTGATGTTCATCGATCGATAGGGTTTCCTGAATCGGAACACTAGCATATGATGGATACAGCAATAACAACATACCTAATTTGGCCCATGGCCAGACCTTTTCCTTCGATCCAGAGCATTGTCCGGTGTCCATTTTTTCTAGAACAAGAAGGGATTGAGGAACCTATTCGTGTCCTTATGCACACACCTTGTTTACTAAACTCCGCCGAGAAAACTAGGAAAATCGTCTTCTACAACAAGATTTTGAACTCTTCAATGAATTCTGGAGCTCAGCCGCTTTGGGCTATCGTTATTGGTTTATATATATATATATATATGTATATATATTTATATATTTTATTTTATTGTTATGCTTTATTTTTTTTATATTTTTATTTAAAATGAAACATACTTGATATGTTATAATATATTTAGTAAAAACACTCAACATAATTTTTAACTTTATTTTTAAAATCAATTTTTTTTAAAAAATAAATTATAAAAGCATGTAAAAAAATTACTAAACAATATGATTTTAAAATAATTGCAAAAAAAAAAAACAAGTGATCCAAAAATAATTGATAATATAGATTCGATGATCTATAAACGGGAAAAATGTTGGGTGTGGATAAGACAAGTGTAGATCGGTGGTATTGCAGCAATATAAGATGTAATACCACTACAATTCCACCCAAATACTATTGTCTGCACGTACGTCTGGTTTAGCAATATTTGCTCTTTGTGACTAATATGAAGCTCATATAACAGCCCATTTACATTGGATTTTAATTTATTAAATAAATAATATTATCTATATATATATAAACCAATAATGATTGCTATATATGTATATATATAAACCAATAATGATTGCCCAAAACAGCTGATATATATATATATATATAAAGTGGCTAAGATATATATAATACATATATAACCATAGGATTTATTAATATCAATTGAATTTATAAAAAATGGAGGTAGATCCTTCTAATAGCCCAAATTACAACTCATACAAAATAAAATCTTAGATTTTAACTCTGAGGTCATACAACTCACTACTCCAGTGACCCAATATCAAAAAAAAACAAAAGAATTGACTAAACAGAACAATCATCCTAACTCCTTAGGTGGGGGATACCCATGCACCAGCCACTATAGACCTCTAGAAGGACACCTCTCCATTGTAGGCTAAGCAATCTTTGCACCTCTTCTTGTCAACCATTAAGCAGGTTTGTTTCCTTCCCTGTAAACAAAACACCAAATGATATTAAGATTAGCAGCAACCATAGATATTTTAGTTAGGCATAGGACAATGTTCCATGGTGTTGCCTTCTTCCCCTGAATATACTCCAATAATTGTGCTTAGTCCACCTCTACCTGCCACAAATGCCTATTAACACATCTAGCAAGTTTAACAGCTGACCAGACAGCCCAAATTTCAGCCTCCAAAGGGCTTTAAGCCACACAGGGTGAAGCAAAATAGCACAAATAACCTCCTTTTTTGTTCTTGAATATTCCCCCACACCAGCAAGACTCCCTCTCCAACTACCATCAGTGTTGACTTTCACCCAATTAGGTGAGAGTTTATGCCAAAAAACCAGTATAGGTTGTCTCCTCCCCTTCTTCAATATAACAATCCCCTCAGTATTAATAGGAAATACCACTGAAAGAGGAAGTTTTGAAAGAGTATAATTTAGCAAGTTTCTGTACATAAGCAAGGATATTGGCTACCACCTGTTGCTTTGTGATATTATTGCCCAAATGCTTGTTAGAATTTCTTGTCATCCATAAGAACCACATGGTAATGTAAGGAATGATTGCTAGGAAATGGTTTTTCTTTTCTCTGGATTCCAGGATGCACAACAGGCATCCAAGTCACGCCAAACAAAAGGGACTAGTGGTGAAATATACCTTCAAGCCTCTGTCATATAAGTATTGCAAATGGACAATTAAAACAAATATGAATAGCACTTTCCTCCTGCCTCCTACACAACAAGCATTTAGAAGCAAACCTCAATCCTTTAAGCTTTAAGATATCATCATAAGGCAACATTTTGTGAAAATGCCTCCACATAAAAAAGGAAATAGAAGGAGTGAGTGAATTTCCCTAAATAAGATTACCCCATCTAACCAGTTCATGATAGTGCAGGTCCTCATAGATAACCATGGTCGTAGATTTGTCATTAGGCAAATTGAATACAAGTGAATCCTTTTTACCCCTCAATAGGGCTGTCAAAATGGCTCGTTGTTCGCGAACAGCTCGTGTTCGGCTCGTTAAGAAGCTCGTGTTCGGCTCTTTAATTTCGTTCGATAAGTTAATCAGCCGAACACGAACTAAGATGTGTTCGTTCGTGTTCGGCTCGTTTTGGCTCGAAATGCTACTCATCAATTATATATATATCTTTGATGAGAAGTCTTTTTTAAAAATTTAGTTGACTACAAGGCTACAAAGATTTATAATCAATTAAAGCATTAATAAAGAAAATATAATAAAAATTATTAAATTAGATTCAAATAATGTTTTAAATATTGTCTCAATCCTTAACATCTGATGACTACGTGATTAGGGTTGTCAAAATGACTATTTGTTCGTGAACGGCTCTTGTTCGGCTCGCTAAGCAAACGATGTTGAACACGAACAGACTTTTTGAGCTCGAAATATAAACGAGCCGAACACGAGTTGACATGCTCAGCTTGTGTTCGGCTCCATGAGCCCTACCCCTCAATATTAGAATCTCAGACATGTAATTTGCATTTCCCTCACCTTTCTCACAACATTGGGATGTTCCACTCCCTATTACTCCAGGAGTCAGCTACAATGAAATCCATTGTGTTTCCATTTTCCTCATACTCTAAGTCCTGCAAAGCCTAATTATCCCCCCAAAATAAAATTTTCCCTTATACACACACTAAGTAAAAATGACCAAAAAATTAAAGATAATGATATCTGTCATTTTTCTTTTAAAATCCTAATATTTTGGTCCATTGAATGTGAAATGATATGAGTGAAGCATCACAAACCATAATCCTCGGCCCACATGATAAAGGGCAGCCCAAGTGTGCTAATACTAGGCACGGGTGCACTGAGGAGCTAGCGCTAATTTTTATGATTTTCTCTCCCCATCTAGGCATTAGATGTGGGTGTGCAAACTTTGATGGTGTGGGGGACATTGACCTCTCAATCTCTTGACACAAATTTGGACTTTTGGGGTACAAATGTGTTGCCTTGTTCGTGCAGGAGCTCTAGGTTGACAGTTGCTTGGTTTCCTTCTCTCTTGCTCTCCCCACAATCTTCCAACCTATATTCTATATAAAATAACAAATGCACATTCCACAAAGAACAAAAATCACTTAAAAAAGTGATAAAAAACAACACAAAACTCTATATTTTCACGGCACATCAATTGTGGATCTAGAAAAAGGATCCAAGATTTCATATTAGAGATTAAATGTCCCATTTTACATTTAATTCTCCATATTCAAATTAGCTGGCTCTTATAAAATGACATATTTAGGCCTGCCTGACCCTCAGTCTATAATTTAAGGCCTTGGAGAAGTTAACTTCCAATTGAGTTGTTGATGTGTGAAGGCCCGGGTACTTGAATTTTAGTTTTTTAACTCCAAATGATTGTCTGCTAGTGCTTGGCCTCTAGCACTTGACCTTTGGTGCTCAGCCTCTATGATACTCATCGATGTGTCTGATCATCTATCATCCTAAATCAATGTTACCTTCCTTCAATTCCACCCTTTTAATACAATTTTTGCTAATGGGTGGGTTTAGAGTTGTTTGGTCTGTGATGATCTTGATAGTCACATTTAGGTTGTACAAATGTGAAAATTTTTTGAGTGATATAAAATTATAAATGTACATGTATAATTTAGTTGGTAAATATGTAAATACATAGAAATTGGGTGGTATGTTACATGCCCCCATGTTCTTATTGTGTATTGATTGCTACTATAAGAAACTAGTGATCGTAGCCCATAAACTCTCTTGCAAGGGAGCTAGTTTGTTAGGATGATTTTTAGAAAAATCCTGGTAGGTCCCTCACAACCAAGCCATGAATATACTTTGACGTGTTTGAATAAATTATTTGATTGTAATTTCATCTCTTAAAAAGTCAGATAAACATTTAAATGAATAAAATTTTAAATTACTTGAAAATAATATATGTCTATTCAATATATTTTTAATTTTTTTATTCTTGTTATGTAAACACTTCCATATAATAAATATATTTGGTTTCATGACCTTGTTCTTTAATTAGAAGTGTAATTTTGTGCCACCTGACACGTGTGATTATAAAATTATGTAAAAAGTATATATTATTGAAACCAAATTTGTCTTGAATCGCACCCAAGGAATAGAGTGTTAACAAAGAGTGGAATTGAAGGAAATGAAAATAAGATAAGGAACCCCCTCTATGAAAACCAAAAGAAGTTAAATAAGATAAGGAACCCCCTCTATGAAAACAAATTTGAATCACACCCAAGAAACTTATATATATATTAAATAAAGAGCGTGATAAAGCTCCCTACGCGTCAATCACCAAAAAATTTACAAAATGAAAATAAGATAAGGAACCCCCCCTATGAAAACCAAAAGAAGAGTACAACTCACCCACTAAGAGGTTCTTCATCCGCAGTATAACTTGACCCAAGAAGAAAAACACGCCAACACACAAAAAACAAAAGGGAACAATGCAAATGTAAACATAATATATAAACCCAAGTGAGTACATCTGCATAAAATGATAGTCGAGATCCGCTACACTTTCAAATCCGCTCTCCTCCAGATGGGTAAGCATGCCATAGAGGGTACAACCCAGAGATTCGAAGCGATGAGCACCAAACCGACTTGTGTATATCCTCCATAGTCACTGAACTTCAAACCAATAGAAGTTACCTGTAGACCAAAATATACCAAAAAGGCAAAACCAATATAAATATATATATAATATGAAGTATAAAGCCAACCACCCTAGGAGTGATAAGCAGATTTTGAAAAACATCCAGCCTAGAATCAAAAGCCAAGCTTCCTAAAAATTTAAAAACATCAACCAGCCAAATACCACTAAGCTAATACCCAAAAATAAATATATAAGCTCCACCATAAAAAGGAGATATGCTTGAAACCGCAAGAAGCAAACCGCAAGGAGCAAACCAAGGAAAAGAAAAAAAAACATTAAGTCATGATGAACGGCAAGGTTAAAGAGTTGCCCCGTAATATATATATATTTATTTATTTATTTATTTATTTATATTCTTCAAGTTTACTATATAGTTCGTTTGGTTAGT